AATTTCTGCTACAGACGTTCTCTGGACAGGACACTGCAGGAAAGCAATCTTTCTTCACTCCCTCTCACAGAAGACTTTGCTGGCAGCAGAGGACAGCAGCCTGAAAGCCACTTCTATGGCTCCAGCTGCCATGAGGGCAGAAAAAAAAAAAAAAAAAAAAAAAAACCAAACATTTCTATACTGCTTTTCATAAAGTTGCTTCAACACTAAGGGAGTAAGTTGAGATGGGGAAGGGAGAGTCTCTTCTAAGGAAAATGCTGCCTTTCTTCAGGCTGTCATCCAGCTACAGAGAGAAACGTTACTGGTGGTGGTGTTCAATTTCTCAGGTCTTGGGAAACATTCCCACAAATGTACACAGAACCTGAAATTATGATACTTTGTATAGCTTCTGTCTCACATATAATTTTGTTTCACATGCTTTGCTCTTAGTTCACACTTCAGGTACATCAAGAATCAGTGCTGCAATTTCACCTCTAACTGTCAGGATGCTCCATCAAATTATAGCCTATTGTTCCCAGGATTATCCTATCCTAGAAGCACAAAAACATAATTGCTCCTAATACTCACACTGTGATTAATAAGTTTTTTTTTTTATATTCCTCTACTCCACAAGTAGTTACACATCTTGAAAACTACTGGAACTCTGTCTAGAATTTTGACTGAAAGGACACCAAACACATAATATATCTCACATTTAAAAAACCTTATTGACATGGTACTAAGTCATGCTGACCAACTTTATTCATTTATGTGGCAAGTCTAAGAATTATGTTTTTACATATGTTTAAGGAATTTTAAAAACGTTGTTCCATTCTATAAACAACCATGGAAATACAATATTCTACAGGAGGGAAAAAAACCCAAAAAATTTTTATACAAGAAAATTACAAAACATGGATATTGTTTTATATCTAAAGAACTATAATACTTAACTATCTTCATTTGATGACAACTGATGAAAAGTTAAAAGTCAAAGAATGAAAGAATCAAACATTTGGTTTCCACACTCTAGAATCTCTGTAGAACAAAATATATGTATACAAGGAACACCTACAGCAAAATAACAGGATGTTTTCAAGAAATTAGCCTAAATTTAAATCTCTTTCTGTATTAACCAGCAACAGAAGTATTTTTCAGATATAAATACGGAGGTAGTGTATATTTTACAGCCTTGTGCATTACTGGAAGTCACACATACGCTAAACATCACATAAAAAAAAGAGCATCCATTAGTTTGCGCCTAATCACCCAGCAAAACTGGAAGCAGCAGAACTCAGCTGTTGTGCAAAAACAGACACTCTGGTGCTTAAGAAATCATCTTAGCTATTGGTGAATGACAGAACATTCATGGAGAAATTCCCATTGCTGGAAAGCCGAAATAATGAGCTCCCCTCCTCTCCTGACCTCCCTGCTGCAGTGTGGAAGGGGTAGTACACTTGAACAGTTAACAACTAGCTCTCCTCAGGCAGAGCCACACACCTCTAAGCCACACAGTGGTAGGAAGGATCACGCAATCACAACCACCCCCTTTGCCATCCTCTGAGTCAAATCCCCCTTCTCCCCACTTGTAAAATTCCATACTGTGGTTAAAACAACAGTATTTTTGTACCTTTGGGCTGCCATTAACATGAACACTCCAGACTTTAACAATGGTATGCCAGCTTCCATGGTGATGAAATAACATGACGCTGTCTTAGTAGCAGTAATCATATTAGTAGAAATAATAATAACAAAGCAGTCAATTTAAGAGTGTGACAATGCTGAAAACACAGGACTGAATGCACAGTTCTGAATGAAAAGGCATTTCCATTTCACTATTTTTAAATCAGCTGTAATCAAGAAAGAAGCACACAACTGCTGGCCTGTGTTTAGTACACTGTAATCCAACATAACCATCTACTCAGGTTTGGTTATATTTCCCATACTGCAATAATGTTTGCAGTCTCATCCAGCTTATCATCACTCCAGCCTTTTTTCTCTTCCTAAATGTGTTTAGAAAACTTGCAGACATTCAAAAATACATTCATACTTCCTCTTAACCCACTTTCAGAGTCTGAACCTCTGACCTTACTCAAACAAGAAACACTAATGCCTTTTACTTCATAGCCTATACATAATGTTATTCTCATATATTCATTTCCCTTGAAGGTATAAATGGTATAGCATTTTGAAATAGGGTAGTGTTACCTCTTTTTCCCTACATTTTCTGAGCCTCAGATTCTACACAGTTTGTTTGCTTGCTCCTACGTATCAACTAAGACTTAAATATTCTTGCAGTGGATTCTTGTAACTACAAAGCATCACAGAAATGTTTTGTGAAAAGCAAACAAACACCAAAGATATCATTGACTTTCACTTCGATTCCCAATCTGTAACAGGCTGGGTATATTTTCAATTCAAGATGTGAGAGTCAGACCAACATTAAAGAGGTATTAAAGCATGGAAGAACCCATAAAGAAAACTTTTAATTAGCAAGAAGAAAAAAAATATTTTCTGTTGCATTCCCCAGGAAATTGTTGGAAAAAGATGCTTGCCATTCCAGTTTTGTCCCATTACAGATACTCTTGCAAAAAACGTACCATCATGCAATACATCATATTTTACCAAGACACTGTTTCCACAGAAATACACACTGCCAACACTCTATCAAAACTTGTATTTCAGAGCAAATCTTTATTATGTTTCCTATTTCAGGGCATCATTTTCTATAATTACTACCAGAATACCATTCAAACAGCTATGCTATCGTATTAAACCATCTACAGCAGACCATTTTAGCCCAGCCTTGTATTAAAAATACCAAAAAAAAAAAAAAAACATGATCCTCTTCATTAGAAAAGACAGGGTTATTTGAAGTAAGACAAAATCACAAAAGGGGAGATAGTGACAAAAATCTACCATTTGCTCTACATACCATGTAGACCTAAAAACAATGAGTGAAAAATTCATTGTCACTATAAAAATAGTACCAACAGCCCAATAAGATAAAAAAGGGCTATTAATCTTTCTATCATTAGATGCACTAAGTGTATATGTATATATACACATATCTAAGTATATATATCTATATATATAGGTGTTCTTGGATACAAATACTTCAGCACTTTTAATCCACAAAATATTCACTTTAATTGAGGTAAGACTAAGCAGAACTACTTCACTGTCTGAGCTTTCCTTTCTAAAACAAACTCCCCCCAACAGGCAACCTTATCCTGCTTTGGTACATCAGACCCTTGCTGTAGGAACTTGGCCAAGGTCAAAGAGTTAGTCAGCAACACAAAAAGCCTGTGACCCCAAATCCCGGCAAGACATGCTGCCTCTCAGCAGGCAGTCCAGAAGATACTCTGCACTTCACTACCCATCTTCTGGCTCACCCAGCACTTCTCATACAGCCTAAAACTGCATCAAACAACATGCACTACTACAAGCAGAGAGACAAAAATATAAAACCACACATCAGTGTAAAACCTCAAACATTAATCGCGTATATAAAAGGATTGCTAAAACACTAAATCAACGTTAAGAAATAGATTTTTTTTTTTAAATTTGTGCTCCTGTACTGCCACCTAAAGACCAGAGTGAAAAACAGGAACAGTAGCGGACAACGTGACTGCTGCCTGTAGTCCCGGAAGAGAACAGTAACGTTTTCCTGACACCTCACTTTGAAAAAAGACCACACCAGATTAAAGCAGATCGATGAAACAGTTCTATTTCACATCACAGTTTAGCAGTACTTTACTAATTGCCTAATTTCTATATATTAAAAAAAAAAAAATGTATCTCTGTATGGATGTACATATATCCTTTAATTAGATAAATGTCAGCTTGTCATCTTGGACAGTCTTGAGCTACAAACTCACAGTATATTTGGCAAAGGAAGACAGATTGGTGGAGATCTATTTTTGACTTCTTTATTTACTTTTCCTAATTTAACTGCTATCACTATATAGAAAAAGCAACACCTCAGATTCACTTTTATTCCACCTGTTGCTGCACTCAACCTGTCTTCTGAAGTCTGCAGCCTCTCAGAACTTCAGGCAGAAAATGTTCAGTCACCACCCTGAAGGACTCTGATGTCACAAGTCAGACATCACAGACATAATAGCTAAAAATCTTTTGAGTTTGGTGTATATTTGGGGTTTTTTGGAGGAGTTTGTGTTGAATTTTTGCTTTGGTTGGGGTTTTTTTTCAATATGCTGAAGACACAAGGTGCCTCTTATAAAATGCAAGCATCACCTGGAATACGTTATCAGATTTTACTTTGATTAAATGAGAAATATTCTCGTGCCTGTAAAAGACATGAAGCAAATCACCTGGACTGTTTCAACAAATGAAACTTCAAATATCTTCAAAACAATCCCCTTGCCCTGGCCAAAAAAAAAAAAACCCTAAAAAAGAAAAGTTAGTTAGCAATATCGGATTTTCTCTTGTCTCTCTTCTTCACGTCTTGGCAATTATACTGGGGTTTGGCTCATCTAGCAGGATGTTTCAGGTATTAATACAGAGATTTCCTTTAACAGCTCTGCCACAATCCAGCTTGCCGGGAAACTGCTCAAGGTTAAAAAACAGTTTTGCTCGTTTCCTTCTAAACAAACACAGAAAGTGACTATGCGCTTGTCGGTTTCCACTGGTAAGGATTTGCGGGAAGAAGGCGGGCATTTATTCACGGCATGGCTCAAAGCCACGTGCTCTCCACAGGACAACCCAGACACGGAGCTCCGAAGGCCGGAGCCTCCCGAGCTCTGCGAACCCCCGGGCGCAGCTCCCTCCGCCCCGCCGGACTCGGGGCTCCCCAGCTAAACACAGCGGCAGGAAGCGGCGAGCCCCGCACCTCAGCGCCGGCAGCACACGGCCGCGGGACCCGGCACAGCCAGCTCCGCTCCAGAGCACGCTGCCCTCCCCATCCCGCCCCAGCCGGCTCCTCTGAGGGCGCGGGCTGCCGGCCCCGCCCCGGCGGAAGGGGCGGCGCTGTGTGCGGAGCGGCGCGCTCCCGCCGGTACCTGCGCAGGCAGCGCTCGCATACGCTGCCCAGCTGCTGCTTGGTGAGCACGTAGGCGAAGGGCACGTCGCGGTAGAGCAGCTCTCCGGGCCGCACGCTGCGGCGGGAGCGGAGGCCGCTGCCCTTGCCCGGGCTGAGGAACCGCTCCAGCGCCGCCGGCTCCATCCTGCCGCGCGCGCCGCCACCGGAGAGGGGAGCGCGGCCGCCCCGCCCGCCTGCACGTGACCGGGCGCGGCCGCCGCCATCTTAAGTCAGGGCAAGGCCGGGGGCGGGGACGGGCCCGCAGGGACGGAGCCCGGGAGCACGGCCCAGCGGGTCCTGGGCCAGCGCAGCCCTTTGCCTGGAGAGGCAGCTGGCAATACATGTCACAGAATCCCAGAGTGGGTCAGGTTAAAAGGGACTACAGTGCGTCACTTGGTGGAACTGCGCTGCTCAAGCAGGGCCATCCCAGAGCGCATTGCACGGGACTGCGTCCAGAGGGATCTTGAATATTTCCAGTCACGGGGACTCCACAGCCTCTCTGGACTATCTGCTCCAGTGCTCAGTCACCTACACAGCAATGAAGCTTTTCTTCATGTTCAGGTGGAACTTCTGTGCATCAATTTTTGCCCCTTATCCCCCGTCCTATTGGTTGGCACCACTGAGCACAGCCTGGCTCCATCCTCCTGGCACCCTCACTTTAGATACTTATGCCCAAAATATTAAATAGTTTGGTTTAGAAAGGAAGGGATGTGATAATGATTCAGTCAAAAGACATTCCCAAAAATGACATTACATTCGTGAGCCGTCATCTGGGTGTTTTTCTGGATCTCACCGTGATCTGAATGCAAAGAAATGTGACTGGGCCAGTAGCTGCACCTATGCTCTGATGGGATTTCTCACTGAGAATGCACCCCACGCACCAGATACTTCTTGTCAAAACCATGAGTCAGATAAAAATGACAATAGAAAAAGCAAGACCCTTGCAGAATTAAATAAGAGTATTAATCTGAAATGTTGGCGCTCAAAGCCCGTGAAATAAGTGCTTTATGGATCTGCATAATGTTCATTCATTTACGAGATTACACTCATGATGCAGGCTAAATGTGCTAAACTGCAGATCGACTTTGTCTGGTTTTCCTCATCACGCCTATAGAGGGAGGTAGGGTTTGTGTTTTGGAAACGAGTGTTGATTCGTGCTGTCAAAGAACACTGAGACATTGGCCTTACAGTTCTGCCAAGCAGCTGTGCTAAAACTACTCCGTTTTGTTCTCAGTAACTATTATTTCAGCCTGCAATTATTTTCATCCAAGTTGCAACAAGATAATAAGGAATGGCAATATGCATATCTAAAACACTGCTATTAGGAAGAACCAAGGTACATAAAGCCAGAGGATTCTCACAGAAAAATATTTTTTGACATTTGCTTAATGCTGCAATGATGTAATTCATTACCAAAAGAACTGACAGCAATCTAGCTGTTAGTGAAATCATTATGAATGTTACTATGCTTATCTTTAACTCTTCTAGCAAATTTTTAAAATTTATTAAATTACAGTGATACTGTGACTTTCTCAAAAATTAACCTTATTAGCTGTTAAAATATCAGGCAATTAGCTCTGTATTTGGCCTGTATGCTTTTCTTCACCCATTAAATGTTCTGCATTTTCTTGTCTATGCTGTTTTAGTTTCTAAGCTCACATCACCCAAAACCTGTACCAAAAACAAGACCAGTAATAACAGAAGTTAACAACTGCCTCTATTAGTGGCCAAATTTAGGAAATGAATGGTTAAACAAAAAGCATGAACCTAAAGGCCTACCCATGAACTGCAAAAAGTGCACCTCGGGAAGAGCTAATACAAATATGTAATACCAGATGTAATTTTCATTATTTTCTCTTTTCTTTTCTTGGCAAGTTTTCTCACTTATATGGCCAGTAACACAAAAACAACCTTGCAAAATTTTGCAAAACACATCTGAGGGAATGCCAGTCGTCTGTCTCACTGACACACAAACAAAATGAAAATCACAGCCTTGAGGAGCCCAGCTACTCTAGGAAGATCTGAAGTATGTATATCTGAAGAAAGGGACTTCCATCAGCTTGGCATAAGCTGTACAGGAAATAAGCCACACAAACTTGAGAACAGCTTTTAGTTGACATTGCATTTCAAATTATATGAAAACATAATTGCAGTAATTTTCTGTATAGATTAGCTTTCAAATTCAGCATTGAACATTTTAATATAGTGTTGGATATTTGGACATCCGTGTGAAAGGCCTGAAGAACTGATTCTGGATATATACATCTACAAGTTAGTGGCAAATCTACCTAGGAGGGCCATTCAGCAGTCTTTGAGCAATGGTGATCAATGGAATGACCAACTTGGATGTTTTTGGAGTCATCAGTCGGAATTTTCTTGAAAGCATAATGATAGTAGGGCTGTATATCCTAGTAAGTGCTTATTTAGCCCAAGAATATATTTAGGTGAATTTAATCCCTGTTATCAGCATGGTATTTTTATATGACCAAGTCATACACAGACTTAAACAGGTCAGACTTCTCAGCAGCTGTTTGAAGTGCATGACACATTCTGGACGGAAGAAGCTGTCAGGGAGTGTAATGAGGGCAGTTTTGAAGGAAATATCACTTAATTGTGGCTGATGCTGCTGAATTAGTCATAAGTCCTTACTGCCAGGAGACACCGTCATGGAGCTCTAGCTCTTCTATCTCAGGACAGCATGTTTTACATGAATCTAGAGAAACAGCTGCAGTAATGAAATCATTCAAATTCTGCTCCTTACTCATAAATGTGCAATAGCCATTCCAAACAACACTGCACAAAATGGATTTTTTTTTTCTGGGAGCAAAATATGGCTCAAAACACAAAATGTTAATTTTGGATTGTACAAAATCTGTGTCACTAACAGCACAGATTATTATTATCAATTAATTAGTTGAAAGCTTGTAAGTACAAACAAATCTTTTATGAACACCTCTCTTGAAGAGGTCTCTTACTGTTGGTGTGCTGGTGAAAAATTGATTCTAGAATGTTAATTTTGGATTGTACAAAATCTGTGTCACTAACAGCAGAGTAGCTATCAATTAATTAGTTGAAAGCTTGTAAGTACAGACAAATCTTTTATGAACACGTGTCTCTTGAAGAGGTCTCTTACTTCCACTGTTGGTGTGCTAGTGAAAAATTGATTCTAGAATGTTAAATTAAAAATCACTGCAGAAGCATTTTAAGCACAAATTCATAATTTTTGAGCATTTTAAGCACATAATTCATTCACATAGATTTTATCCATTGATTTTTTTACTGGGAAATTTACCAAGCCATTCTACTTTATTTGTATCTTTTCTGCCCCAAACATGTCAATTTCCTTCAAATGACAGAAGCAAGCTCAGAAAGTTCTGACCTGTTTGTTTATTTGGGGTTGTATCAATAGGATCAACCACATCAGTGCTTAAAGACTTACATTATGAGTAATCGACTGTTTCATTTGGTATATCTTAATTACTCCTAATTTCCCTAGGGCTTCCTGTGCTTGCTGCATGTTGTGTTCTATCTGCTGGGACAGTCAGTGTGCCTGTTTTTAGCAGTGACAAGTTAAACAGCCTGCACAAGGAAAGATGCAATAGCTGTTAAACAAGGATATAATGTGAGCGAACATCTCCCTCTGACTTGTCCTTCCTGGAAAAGTTACTTGTTATTTCCTTTTTCTCAGCATTTACAGAAGAAAGGTATAGCTTTGCTAATTAATGTCTTACAAAGCTCAGGTCAGAGTTTTCAATCTGCAGCCTAACAGATTGTGTTCAGTCTGACAAAACAATTAATTCAACATGCTTCTCAGGGAGCCTCAGTTTCTTCCCATCACATTTGCACATCCTAAACTATACCACACAATCTGTTTCTCAAGTTTTGTGCTGATATTTCCATGAACATTATCATTAGCCTGCAAGGCTGAGCTCTGGTTATTAAAATGTCCAGTGCTGAACAGGTTTACAGCCAGTACAGACACATTCCATCGTCACAACCACTTACCACAGCATCTACTGGATTAATTACTGCAAGGTCACAAACCCTTCTTCTAGATCAAAAGTGAACTGACTGTAGAGTTCAACTCAACTGACCTAATTCCAAGTGGCAAAATTTCTTGTTAACTGGACCAAGTTTGTTTCTGTATCTATTTGGGTTTGTTATGATTTAAATATAAGTAAGTAGGAAGAGCTTAGGCAATTGCTAGCACAGTCATCATTTTCTTTCCCAGACAGATGGCACAAGTGATGAGGGCCATTAGAAAAGACTTGGCATCTCTAAAGTTACAATCAATGTATCAGCTATGATATACTGGTGCTTTTACAGGGAATGCTAAACACCATTTTTGGGCAGCTCCTCAAAATAATTGGAAGAGTGAAAGCAACACTTAAAAGTGTTCTACTAGACAGTGAGTTCACATGTGGATCATGTTTCAGAGGTTCATGTATTAAATCAGTCTTGAGGAAAAAAAAAAAGACAGTTATGCAAAGGAAAGGAATACAAATAGTACAGCGCTAGACAGTGAGTCATGTGGATCATGTTTCAGAGGTTCATGTATTAAATCATTCTTGAGGAAAAATAAAGTTACGCAAAGGAAAGGAATACAAATAGTACAGCATTGGTTAGAAATGGTAACAGAAATGTATGACAAGCCTTTATGTACAATTTAAAATTTGAAATTGAAGTGAAAGTTCAACATTATCCTACAAAAGCTAAAATCTTGCAACAGTAGAAATTACTGAGTGAACAGCATCAATTAATCAAATATATAGACCTGCTTAATTTTCACTTCCTGTGTATTTATTCACACACAACAGTAATTTTCAATCTTTTCCATGAATACTAGAATAATTTTTATAATGGCAGGCATTTCTATCTCCATTTCACATTTGTGATCATTGTGAAACATTGCTTACACTTAGCCTTAATGGTGTGTTTCTGTTGAGCACTAAATCTCATTTCAAGTCCCCAGTTATACAATATTCCTTCCACTTACAGACTCCTGCTGCTAGTCTCTGCATTGGATCATTAAGTGCTGCTTTGCAACAGCATCAAAATAAAACAAATTTCTTTTTCTCAGTTTGTGTTTGAAATGTTATCAGCACACAGTTAAAGAAATTTATTTAGGCAGTTGTGGTCTTACATTTCATGTAAAGAATACTTCTGGTATGTTGGAGGTGTAAGACATCTTGCTGCAACAAGAGCAAGGTGTTTTGATTCAAGGTGGGGTGGGGAACCAGGCCAAGAGACAGAGCAGTCTTATAGACCAGCAAATAAGACAGTTACCATCTAATGAGACTGGAAAAGGTGGAATTGCTTCTGTCAATGCAAGGTTACCATTCACTGACAGTTAACAATGACTGTCTCTGAAACAGAGATAGACGTAAGCAGAAAGGAAGCTTCAAATCTTCACACACCAGAACACCAGCAAGCCTCTGAGGCAGACTGCAAATTAAGCCTCAGCCTTTCCAGGAGTTTCATTGTAGTATTACAAAAGCTCAGCAGCTTCAAGAGGAAACTGCAGCCTAGCTAGCAGAGTGAACTGAGGCTGCTCAAAGTCACTTTGTCATCTGCAGCCAGAACTGCAGGAGGAAGACAGAGATGAATGCTTATCACATCTACACCTCACACTAATCTTAATACATACAATTCTGTTTTCATTGTTTGGGGCACTAATGTTATCCACAGCCTGGAAATAGCTCAGCCTTCATCAAAATGGCATTTTATAAACTAGTGCTTTGCTAAAGAAGTGTATTTTTTGCCACAGCTCTTTCCAGAGGGTACAATATACAACACAGAAACAGTACAACCTCTCAGCATTGTTGAACAACGGAACAGTTACATGGTCAGACAGAAAGAGAAATGAGGAACGGGTTGCCATATGGAGTACTATGGCTAAAAACAGAATTTTAATAGCATATGGTTTTGAGTAATTTTTTGGTACATCTATTACGCATTAAAGATATTGGCAAAGGTTTCAAATACGATGATTTTTTAAAAATCATTCATACAGCACTGAATATTCTGATGACTTTCAGACCTAAAATAATCCCTATACATGTGTAGATGTTTGTGTATTGCATTACAAACTAGTACATGTTGCCCCTGTTATTTTCAAAAGAAATAACTGCTACAATTTTTCCTCAGGGATATCACAATCTTTATTTTAAGCAACTCTCATTTAATATTTTATCACCCTGTCATTACCTTGTCTTCTATTAACCACTATACCACTATTAATTTATTAGCATTTATTGACTTTAGGCTGCAAATTCAGAAAAGCAGACAATGTTGCAGACTCAGTGGTTGCAAAGACCTTTGTATTTTGTGAATCTGTCAAAAGGGCATTCAAATAATTAAGCAAAATAAAAACCAAACAAATAATAATTTGGTCTGACAACTTTTTTCAGATGTTGTAAATACACAGCAACAGTGTAACAAAAAGTTGCATTTAAGTGGTACATCCAAAAGTAGCAAGAGCTAATAAGCTCCTGCAGAAGTTGCAAAGCTTGTCCGTTGCAGATACAATTGTGTGCAAAGCTTGTCCATTCCAGATAGGATTGTGAAAGATAACTGTGAATTCATTACTTTCATCCTAAGTAGAAAGGCTCTTGTTGCTTGCTAAATGTTTCCTGTTTGGACAGGAAATCATCTAGCTAACAGTATCTCTGATTTTATTTAAATCACTTTTTATCAAAGTAATCTTCCAGAAGCAAAGGTGATCTTCCAAAAGCTTTAGATTTATAAGTTCATGGTCCTTGTACTTGCCAAGACTTCATCATGGAAGAAGCTCTCAGCAAACAAATCGGAGTTTTGCAAAGCCTCGAAAAGACGCTTATAGTCTTCTGGATACAAGTTACACATTGCAGCATTTTTGGGAATTTCTAGTGCTTTCAGTAATGTGTCACTGTTGTCCAAGCTCCAGGAACTGAAACAAACAAACAAAATCATAATGGAGCATTTCTTCCTGTGAAAAATTAAAAAGCAAGAAACATATCTGAAGGTCCACTTCACTCTTTCACAGCCTCCAGAAGAAGCTAACCTCTTCTTGTAACACAAGTTACTTTCAATCCATACTGCAAACAGGAAGAAACCTCTGCTATTAAAACACATCAATAGCAAATAAAGCCCCCAGCACACACAGACAATACCAAACCACACAAACCTCCTCATTACAGGCTGGGTGTTCTCTCTCCCTCATCCACCCTAAATTCATAAGTCAGTAACAGGCATTACAGCCTAAGAAGGATGTTTCAGTGCTGGAGAAATTAAAGCCAAGGATGACTCAGTATAGCATGAACTAGTGACTTACACCTCCCAGGTATTTTCTTCTACACGTAAACAGATGTATCCACCCTCCCCCATCTACATCTTTACTATGAAAGCTATACTTTCATAAATGTGCACATACATTAACTGTTTCCCAGACAGGAACAAAGTGTATAAATACACAGAAGATGCATATTAGAAGCCTTCAACTTCCTGGCTGAAGGATCAAGTGGAGCTGAGGTATACCACTGAGCTTTAAGAAATAAATCCATTACGGCTCTTTCCACTTGTCTTTCTAAGAGAGTTACTGGAATTTAGTAGCTTATTTATTCCCCCTTTCTGGAAATTAACTTTCACAACCTACTATCAGCAAATGAGAAGTATATTCATTATTTTCATCATCAAGAAGTCAGTGCCTTGTAGACTGTGAACACCTTCCATTTCTGGGAAACAGAAATCTACTGATCATAAAGAAACATGAATAGCTTGCATAATTGGTAAAGTCTAAAGCCTAATTTTTTAATTAGGTAACAGCCATTTGAGGACATCCCCGTTCCACCTTCTATAACCTTCAGCTGTTTTCATTAGCGTAACTTTGATGTCTGTTGTAAGCTGAATCTCTTTCAGCTTTTAATTTCTGTAACTGCAAAACTCTTGGTGGCTTTATTATTGTATCTGTAAAATAAGTGAAAACTTCTTACAGATACATGACCTAAGCTCCATTGGAGGTACAGGAATATACATTATAAATACTTTCCAACCTCCGGACAGGAACAGTCCCCAAAATACTGGATAGTAAGTTGCATAATAAAATCTTCTATTCTACATGTTGATGATTAATTAAAAATTAATTAATGAGGGTTTTTTTATAAGGCAGTATTTCATCTGCAAATAAACACTGCTTTGGGAACATTGCTTTTTTAGTATTTTCATATATTTCTCTGAAGTATAAAAACTGTAATTCCTTCTTACTTACATTAATCTATCCGTTAGTTTAGACTTAGGTTTAGCAAAAGACTGTTTCACCATGAAAATAAAGGTAGATGCATTTGAGGGTTTCAAGCCTCCTGTAAAAAGGTTTTGCTGAGGAGTCAGTCGTACCAAACAGAAATGGTCATTTGGCAGCCGCTGCAAGAAAAACAGAGTAAGTCACTGAAAAAATCACTTTTTAATACAGTATCTATCTTAAACCAAGACTTTCATCTTCGCCATCAATAACATTTCTTATTAAAAGTCTTAACAAGATGATTTGCATCAGAAGATGAGGCTTCACCTCCCTGTGCCTTAAACAGAAAAGGAAATAGAAAACAAAAGAAACATACTATCACTTGAGGTTTATTTCTATATTTTTAAACTGGACTTTCTTAGTTGAAATAGACAATACAGGCCTGATGTGAGTTTTCAAGATATTATATGGCCTATTGTATTCCTATACTATGCAAGGTATCAGACCTGCTGTTTTTATATAAAGACACAATTATGTGAGTGACACTGAGACACTATTGCAACATGAGGATTTTGTAAAAATGGGACAAAGTGGACTCTTCAAAGGAAAGAAATGTACTTCTGTATTGGCAGCAATGGATATATTAGAGCTGACATCTGTACTTCTGAAGTTGTCCTGGTACATCCTGCATAGCCCACCTCATGGGGCTCTCCACATGGCTTTCCAGCAACACAACTAAGCACATAAGGCACACCCAGTCACATATTACAAAGTATTGCACTCAATACAGCACCATAGCAGTTTTCTGGGGAGTGTGAAACTCAAAAATATGAAGTAAATGTGCTTTTATATTATCTGAATTAAATAAGAATATTCCTTTATTATACAAAGGAACATCATTACTTTTCCAAAGGAGAGAAGTAAATAACTTTACACAAGGTATTTTTGCACTTCCCAGATTTAAGTTTGGAGACTCATGCTTTTCCACAATTAACTTGCACATGAAATCTATCATAGACGTGTGAATAACTATTTTAACCAAAACCAGCAGCACACTGATTGTGTTATTAACTGTGGTAACACTTGTTTTGTTCAAGCAGGTAGATGTGACCATCAGTAACTTTCTCTGAAAAAAACTTGACCAATTCATATTCCTTTATACTGTTTACTCACTATATTTTTTCCATCACAGACAATAAAGATACTAGTTTATTTCAGTTTCTAAGAAAATAGCAATTCTTCACTCCACTTCTGATGAATCTCTATGCTGCCCTAAATTTTAATTAGAACAGTTCTTATAAAACACATCTGTGAATACTGCTATGAAGTTACTTTAACCTTTCAATAAAAGTAGTGTAGCGGCATCTTCAGAAGAAAAGCGTATACAACAATCTTACCCCAGCTTTTGGTATTGCCACTCCCCCATTTTTCAAAGTAGTTGCAAATGAAGACCAAGGTTCCTATGGGACAAAGCAAAGGTATTATGTATTATGGAATTAAAGTGTTTTGTTAGAATAGAATAGACTATTTTAGTTGGAAGGTACCTGCTGTGATCATCTAGTCCAACTGCCAGAGCAATTCAAGGCTGGCCAAGCTAAAGCATGTTATAAAGGGCATTGTCCAAATGTTCTCTTAAATACTGACAGGATTGGGGCATTGACCACCTCTCTGGGAAGCCTGTTACAGTGTTTCACCAACCTCTCCATAAAAAAGCATTTGCTAATACAAAGTCTAAACTTCCCCTGGCACAGCTTTGAAACAGTTGCACACATCCTGTCAGTGCATACCAGGGAGAAGAGCTCAGCACCTCTCTTCTTAATATTTACCTTAATGTATACCTTGTAGTATAAGGTATTTGGAAGACAACAGAGAGTGAAACCTTTTTTTAGATTAGCAAAATGTTTAAACTATGACAGGAGGTTCCTAGAAAAACAGAGCACAAAGATAAATCTGAACAGCATAAACTAACTGAAAGTTGATGGCCATGTGCTCATGAGGAACTGGGGGACAACATAAAAAAAAACTTTTAAAACTAAACCATAGCGTGTTTCACAAGGTAAGAAGGTACTGACTTGTAGGAGAAGCAGGTATGCTTAGAACATTAAAGCACCAAGACTCAGAAAAATTTCTACTGAACACAGTTTAGGAAGTCAAAAGCATACATGTTGGCAAAATTCAGAGCATATAACAAAGAGCAGACTATGACAGATTGGAAAAGCAGACTTCTAGTTTCACACAACCATCAGAAAAATTGAAAAGGTTTATCTGGTGTGTAAACATCTTTTTTTCTGTCTACTAGAATTTGAGAATAAACGTTTTTGAGTACAATGGCTTGTAGTGAAAACACTGACATCATAGTGAATAAGAATGTTGCTTAATTCAAAAAGTTATACACAAAACATGATTGTTTTAGCTTTTTCCAAAAGTTTTCCAACAGTTCTCCAACTGATTTAAACAACAAATTAGCTTTCAATTAGTTTGCAATGGTAAACCACTATGAACCCTTTTCTAAATGCGTGTCCATAGCTTTAGGCCACGTCAGCTGGTACAAAACTCTTACCTTATGCAGTAGTTCAATTTCATACCCTAATTGTGCAAGTACAGTAAGTGCTTGATAAATCTTCGACTTCCCAGGCTTTGCTGTTAATATCTAAAAAAAGGTAAAGAGCAAGAACTTTTGTTGCAAAAACCAAGACTGTGTCTTTATCTAAGCAAAATCCACATATATATATATATATATAAAAAAGAAATTCAGATAAGTCTAAAATTCCAAGGTAAGATTACATTAGGCCTCCAACATGTGCTTTGTGTTATTTTAATTTATCTTGTCAGAAGACAAGGCTAGAAGACATAATATTTGAAGTATTTCTTCACAGCAGTTATTTGGATAACTGAACTATGTAGGACTCTCCAGCATATACTTTCTGGTCCCTTTTAAGGCAGAGAAGTTTCACACAGAAGAGAAATAAGGATCAGATTTAGTATAAAAACCGTAACTTTGGCAGAGTTATCAGTTTGCACTGATAAGATAATACTCCCAAGAAGACACACAAAGCAGAGTAAGTAAAACATCAGATGACCACGCTGAACATTAAGCAACTTGCAGAGTCATCATCCTGATCAATGTTACAAATCAAACAACTCTTGGAGCAAGAAAAAAAAAAGCTTGTGAATATTCTCAAAAAGGGCAAGGGAAGAAGTAAATTATAGCAGGAAGATTTAACTTTGTGTAATAGATTTACACAGTCTTGTCATATGATAAAAAGCAAGAACAACCAACAAAAAGGAGTCAACAATGTCTAGTTAAAGAAAGTTCCAATAGCTTTTACTACATACTTCTTATGTAACAGAGTTCACATTATAACCAGAAAACTTAATTTTAAAAAAAAACAATCAAAAACAAACATGAAACAGGGACTACCTTAAATGAAAAGGCTGCCCTGGATTTAGTAAAAAATCTGACCATTACAACATACCACACAAGCAAGTATTTCAGTGGTGTCCAAACTGGTATTTCACAGACAAATATACTTAAGACATTTAATTTTTTTCAGTGGGGTGTTAGACACAACACTGGTTGTGTAAGCAGACCTGGAAGTCCTTGTCTACTTCAAGTAATTAAAGGTTTATGACTCTGTACAAACCTCCCAGTTTCATGGGGTGGGGAGAGGAAAAAAAGTCATCCTTGAAGTACAGTTCTAGAACTTTGGGACAGCTTAAATTAGGAATATGTAACGAGAAAAGGCTCTGCACCTTAGTGTACAGGGCATTAATGAAAAGGAGTGTAAATAATTGTATTTTGCTTCTATTCTTTTCAGTACTGCATACAAAACAACTCAGGAGGACAAGTATCTCACTGTATTGGTATTTAGTGACTTGGAATCCTCTTCACTTGCATTTTTGTGTTTTGAATTCTGTCTTCATTAACTACTGCCTACACCTAGTAAACAAACTTGTTGCAAAAGCATGGCACAGAATTTAATCACAATTTACAATGGAAAGCAGCTAGTCTGCTGCTGCATATACTTCTCAAGGACCAGTCTTTCCACTTTTAAAATTTGTGGTTAAATGACAACAGAATGTTTCTTAATAGTGCTATCACTGCATAAAGCGGACAACTAGGAAACTGACAATACTTAAAAATTCTGGTAGAAAAAAACTCACTATCAAAAACATTAAGTATACAATATAAATGGGTTTGTGTTCTGTGAAGCACTACACCTTCATTACCTGTAAAATGCCTTGCACGTACCGTGTACTCTTTTTCACTTATGAAGAGGTTGAGTTCTACTCTTCCGTATCTGTATATGGAACTGCATTCATACATGGTGAAAAGAAGTCTCCAAAGCCTGTTTCTTTCCAACTGTTGTGGTACGATTCCAAAAATTTTCAAAGGCACATCTGTTTCCCACAATAGCAAAAGTATCTTTAAAATTCTGCGGTATGTATTAGACAATCTCATTAATTCTAATGTCTAAACTACAAAAAACTAAGCAAAGAAAGTCTGTGAGTTCATATTGTTCAAGAATGAATACAATTCAAGCCTTAGTCAAAGCTAAGCCCAGTTTGCATTAGACAAAAACTTTAAATGACAAGAAAATACCTAATTATCTGATATTGCCATGGGGAATGGGGGGAGAGGGGTTCTGAAGCTATCATGAATCTCAAGCAAAGCTGAAATGTAGAAAACAGCATCTATTAATCAAGCATGCGTATTAAATAGAACATAAAACTCAAGCAAATCCCAAAGTTTTTGCCAAACTGCCTATGCACCCTTCAAACACATGTGTTTGTAACATGTGGGATTATAAACATATACCTGCCCTCCAAGGAACTGCTGCTACACCCAGGGTTTCAAAAAGTTTGTCGGATGACACAGCAGGTGGTTTCAAAGCCCCCTTCGCCAAAGGATCCATTCTGAAGAAGTCACCATGAATCACCTTTAACTGCCCATCCAGGCTATCCTCTAGGGACTGAATAAAAATACCTTTAGTTGAAGAAATCTGGATACGGTAACTACTTTTGCAAAACACCCAATCCAAACAAAAAATGCATTCAAGCATTACCTAAATTGTTACCCAGTCAACAAGAGTCCCAACCTCTGCTTCTTACAGCTGATCCCATCCAGGCTATCCTCTAGGGACTGAATAAAAATACCTTTAGTTGAAGAAATCTGGATATGGTAACTAGTTTTGCAAAACACCCAACCCAAAAAAAAAATGCATTCAAGCATTACCTAAATTGTTACCCAGTCAACAAGAGTCCCAACCTCAGAGCTGCTTCTTACAGCTGACAAAAAGAACAGCTTCTTTCTTTCACCTGATAAAAATAATTGCCCCCTTCACTGTGAAGGGCATTTTGACATTTTTCATGCTGTTCAACTTGAGCTTTAAACCATTCTTAAATTAGTATGAGGTTCTGTAAGGTTTTTAAAAAGTCACACAAGCTACTAAACTAAGTAAACAGCTTCTTTAACAATTTGAAACTAGAATTCTTCATATCTATGGAGAGGATAACTTTTATACACATTTTAACCAAAATGTGAGAGTCATTGGTTCCAAACCAGCACTGTAATGCAAACCTTCTAAAGCAACTTCCGCAGCTCTGTGTCTGACCCCCTTTGAATTCATGCAAAGCCCAGCTGAGCAGCAGAGGACAACACATGTGTCAAATGTAGGAAAACAGATTAAATAAAACTGTGAGATAATCAGAATAAATAAAAGTATTTTTAGAGATTTTTCACAGCTTCATGCAGAACTCTAGCTTAAGCATAAACATCTACAATGACTCCGATCAGTTTCAAATGTATGCATGAAATTTTATTTACGCAGAGAAAGACTCTGTATGACCTTGAATTGCTACATACACAAAATGACAAATTAATTTTAAAACATTCTGCATTTGTGATGTACAATGCCAAACTATATACTGTTATTAGGCATTATGTCAGATGCTGCAAGCAACAACCACTGCCTAATTCCTTTTGATCCAACAATTACACAACAATTTAAGCTAATTTCTTATTTTCCCTTTAATTTTGTTTCAGAAACATGCAACTGAATCACAAGTATACCTGTAAGTCTTTAAGAAAATCTGAGTTACTTTCCAGAGCTACCACTCTAAAACCTGCATCAAGCAGAGATCGAGTTAAAATCCCAGGACCTGAAGTAGGAAAATAAAGGGAAAAAAAAAATTAGGATCGCATTCTTGTTTAGAAGTGATTACCTTTAATGATTTTTCCAACACAACACTTGGGACATCACATTCAACGGGAGATAGCTTGTGTTTGTTAAACACACTTCAAGAGTTAAGAGAAATGAGGAAAATAAAGGAAAAAAAAAAAAAAATTAGGATCGCATTCTTGTTTCGAAGTGATTACCTTTAGTGATTTTTCCAACACAACACTTTGGGACATCACATTCAACAGGAGATAGCTTGTGTTTGTTAAACACACTTCAGAACAAGAGTTAAAGAAATTATTTACAGGCATCCTGCCCGAGATTTCTCACTGTATTACACTGAGCACAGTGTTACAATTAGATCCTGAGCAGCACTGAAGATAAAGTTTCGAATATTTCTATTACTTTTTCTTCTGCCAACTGAAATATACTGTGAAACCTTACTCATATTATCTTTAAAACGCATCCTGCAGAAATGTAAACAAAAAATCCCAAACCATTAGGTAACTGCAGAGGATCTGCCACAGCCCATAATCCCGGGTGTGCTTTTACTGATAACGCTCGCCTCCAAAACCACAGCACTACCTGACAGAAAATGCCATCTCTGGTCACTCTACAGCAAAGTTTTAACACGAGTGCCTCCAGACTGCACCCTCACTCATCCCCCAAGCTCTGCTGAGCGGGCGCCCCAGGCACACCCCAGATGTCCCGGGAAGGCGCCGGGCCGCGGGTCCGGGACATCCCGCGCCGGGATTGCGGCCGGGGCACCCCCGCCCGAGATCCCGGCAGAGGCACGGCCCCGGCCCCTTCCCGCAGCGCTCCGCGGGGCCGGGGCGCCAGCAGGGCCGCTGGCGAGGGCGGCAGCTCGCACTGACCCCCCAAGGTCACTGGGGCGCGCCGGAGCCTCGGGCAGCTCACCGGGCGCGAACTCGAGCAGCAGGGGCTGGCGGCCGGGGCCGGGGCCGGCTCCGCCCTGCAGGCAGCGCCGCACGGTGCGCGCCAGCTGCGGGCAGGCGATGAAGCGGCGGACCACGAGGCTGCTCCGCTGCTCCTTACGCACCAGCCGCTTCTCCTTCGCCGGCTCCGCTACCCGCAGGGACGGGTAGTGCCGCCCCGCCGTCACCCAGCACGGCGACAGCGCGCAGAGCAGCGGCCGCAGCCCCGCTGCCAGGAGGCGGCCGCAGCCCGCGGCGCCCAGCGGGGCCCGGCGCGCCAGCATCGCCGCGCCGCCCGCGCCGCGCTTCCAGCTCCGGGAGCGTGATCGCCGCGGCAACCGGGGCGTCACTTCCTCCTCTGCCCGGCCTCTCCAGCGCGCTTCCGCTCCGCCGTCGGAGGGCTCTCCGCCCGCCGCCCGCCCTCTCTATGGTGCCCGCCCCGCACCGCCGGCAGCCTGCGGCAGCACCAGCCCCCGCGCCTCCACGCCATGCCGGCTGGCGGGTCCCGGCCGCCCGAGCCGCCGCGGAGCTGAGGTGAGCTGACAGCGGCTTATCCGCAGCGGGAGGAGGAGGGCAAGATGAGATGCTTCCCCCGGTGCCGCGCACCGCCGCCGCCTTCCCGTGTCGGCCGCCACCGGGCGCTCCAGGGGCGGGCTCGGGCCGCCGGCGGGCGGCGGGAAGGAG